ACACCAAACTTTTGAACATATTCAGCACTTCAAACTCATTATTAAATACAATTGAAATATTATGTAGTTTCTTAGCACTATGGTCTAGATGCCTTCCATGATCTGTCTTTGATGGTGCAAGATCAAGCATACATTTAAATATATATTTTTTAAAAAGTAACCTAAACTACATATGTACTGACATGGTTTAGTATGGAAGGCCGTATCTACCAATGAATAAAAAAGGTAATTGTGACTTTTTATCTCACAATGCCGACTTTTTTTCTCTCGCAATTGCAATTCTGAGAAGAATTTTTTCGCCCTCAAAATTTGACTTTATAACTCGCAATTGCAAGTTTAAATCTCACAATTATGACTTAACTCACTACTGCATGAGAAACAAAACAAAAAAAACAATTTCGAGATTTTAACTCACAATTCTGAGAAAAAAGTTGGAATGCAAGAAAAAAAATCTGAATTGCGAGTTTTTATCTCACAATTCTGACTTAACTCGCAATTGCAAGTTTATGTCAGAATTGTGAGATAAAAAGTAGCAACAATCTCTTTTTATTTTTTAATCAGTGGCGGAAATGGGCTTCCATAGTTTAGACTGGATAAATTATTTTTCATAGTATTATTCCAGTCCCGAAAAGTTTTCAGTTTGAGTGTTTCTGCCAAAAATGTGTTGTTTGAGCACTGTGCAGATCTGCTGGAGATGAAATATTAGAAAAATCTGAGAAAAGTATATAAACAGAGATCAAAGCGCGGAGCAGTAAGCAAGAACGTCCGAACAGTAGCAAAGCCGGAAGCATTTTTAAAGTTGAAACACAGTTAAAAGCATGTTACACACTGCAGGATAATTTTTATATAATTTTATTATTGCGGATTTGCATTGTGTTCAGTGTATTTTGATTCGGTTGAATTTAGATTCAGAAATACATAATCTGTTTATTTTACTCCTTTGATAATGATTTTTATGCTTTGTGGAAGAGTGTGTTGAATAATTAATTTTTAATTGTTAACGCCATGTCAGCAGTGTCACCATCAATAACAGTCTTACAGTCAACAAAAACAATATAATAATAATAATAATAACAACAATATTTAATTACATTTATATAGCGCTTTTCTAGGCACTCAAAGCCCTTTACATTGTCAGAGGGTATCTCCTCATCCACCACCAGTGTGCAGCATCCACCTGGATGATCTGGTGAATATAAAACATTTATTTCTAAATTACACCACCAGTCAAAAGTTTGGAACAATTAATTTTTTTATGTTTTTGCTTACCAAGGCTGCTTTTATTTGATGAAAAATACAGGAAAAATAGCATTATTCTGAAAAAATATCTGTTTTCTATGTGAATATCTGTTAAACTGTATTTTATTTTATCATTCTAATATGCTGATTTGCTGCTCAATTATCAATTATTATTGTGAATATGTTTTTTCCCCTAATATTTATAGCAAAGAAATATCGGAGTCGATTAGCAGCTTTAATAGTGACATTATGAAGCGTGTTCTCTGACCTCAGCAGATCCGTCCATGTTAAATTTGGCCTCCTGGATCTTCATGCCCCTCTGCAAGTCACTAACGAAACACGTCCGCACTAAATACAGACACACCGACAACACAGTTAGTTGTCCAAGTCAACATGAAATGCTGTTTGCAACCCAATTTTCATTTTACAGATTAGTCAAGAGTAATGTAGAGCGAGACATGATTTTATGCCTGAGGAAGCATCTCTATATGACGTACCTTTGATATCCTCCACAACTTCCTCTGGAATACAGCCTGTGAAAAACACCAATAGATAATCAAACACTAAGCAGTATTAACCCTATAAACCTTCTGTATCATATTGATATATACATTTCTAAGGCTCTAAATGATCAAACTTCACTGAATCTCCTGCATGTCTTCTGTCATCTGATTGATAGTTTAGAGTTTTTTATCCAGTCAAAGCTCTTTTAGGTTAATTATACAAACGTCCAGCTTCAGCTCGAGCTTCAAGTGTCTTTCTGCTGTCAAATCTTGACTGATTTTTTATCAAATACCCTTCAGAATAACTGTAGTAATATTTCCAGATGAACACTAACTGCCCTTTTTGTAAATGATATGATCACTGATCGTAACCTAGATGTGCTCTGTTTGACAGAAACCTGGCTAAAACGTGATGATTACATTATTTTAAACGAGTCTACCCCCCAAGATTACTGTTATAAACATGAGCCGCGTCCAAAAGGTAAAGGGGGAGGTGTTGCTACAATTTAAAACAATATTTTCAGTATTTCTCAGAGGGCGGGCTTCAAGTATAACTCGTTTGAAGTAATGGTGCTTCATATAACATTATCCAGACAAACGAGTGTTAATGTTGCACAATCGGTGGCTGACTAAATACTTTTTTGCCCCACTGTATTAGGCTATTATATATTATTATAATAGCATTATATAGTGGTTCATCGCATGATGTTGTGGTTTTTTTGAGTCACAGATCAGATTCTTTTTTCGTATAAGCAAGAAAATAAATATTTAAAGCACAGAGAATGACAATGCCGTGAAGGGTTTTTGACATAGGCTAATTTTAAGTGTATGTATACGCAACTCTGTATTTCTGCACTGTCTGAAACACGTCCCTATGCTTGTGTGCGCTTTGATTGTGTGCAAGAATAGCGCCTGAGTAACGAATTGAGCTCTGTTTCGTTTCTTCAAATTTGCTTGTATGTGTATATTGGAAAATGAATCTGCGAATCACGTGCGTGCCGAACGGTAGGGTCTCATCCGCACGTATTACGGATCAACTGCGATCCGTTTAACTCCTAATATGTGACAGATCAGAGCAATCTTTCATTTACTTAAATTGTCAAATTGCTACTCCATATCAATCGCATAGAATGAAAATACAGAATAATAAGAACAATCATTAACATAAATAAATAACAGAGTGTCATATCTATACACATTTTTCCCAGAACGTTCTTGCGACCCGGTAGCAATTCTTCCACGGCCCGGTAGTGGGTCGCAACCCGGTGGTTGGAGACCTCTGCCCTATTCCATCTAAGCTCCTAAAAGAGGTGCTTCCAGAAGTCATAGATCCTCTTCTGACTATTATTAATTCCTCATTGTCATTAGGATATGTCCCCAAAACCT